TCTAATAAAGCACTGGATGTAAGAGCTAGCAGGAGTCTGTGGATTGTGGATGGTATACCCACATACTTTCTTATTCCAAGTGTAGGAGGTTGGGTGGAGTAGTTGAGAGATAAGGTCCTCCCCCATTCCAGTTTTCCCAGCTCTGGGCATGCAGGCTGAGATGGTTCCCTCTTCATTCGGGGTTCCCTGTCCCCAGATACTGCCCCAGACCTAACAAGAGGGCCAGCCCAGGAGACACTACTTAAGTCTGCATCCATGGTTCTGATACCTCCTCACATTCCAAGCTGCCTTGCTTCAGTATGGAAAGTCAACGTTGCCTCAGCTTTCCATCCCCACAACAAGGATTAGGGCCACATTGCTTTACCAATAGTATTGGGATCTAAGCTGGTGATGGACTCAGAGCAAGAATATCGAAGGTCAGAACCAGAGGTCAGATTAAAAAGTCAGGAGTCATGAGGTGGAGAACCCAGGTCAGAATATGCAAGAGTTTCCAGGAAAGAGATGCCACCAAGAGCTATAAGCAGTGCTAGCAGTCTGTCCTATGTTGACCCTACTCCGTCTGCTCCCATTGGGAAGATGTGCAGGTTTTTTAAGATCCCAAGTCTTCCACTGGTGGAATTCCCAGACAGCAGGATTCTACTCACCAATGAGGTGCTGCAAAGCCTCCCTCACTGTGTCCATGAGTGTATGAGAGAGCCTTTACAAGGTCCGTGTGGTTCTGGGCCTCTAGTTCTAGAGAATGGGGAAGAAGCAAAATATGTTCTTGGAGGGGGCTTTAGGAGCTCTTTCTACTATGTGCTTATAAACCATGGTGTTTGAAGAGTGTTGAACTGCTGAGCTGGGCCCATTGAGTTATCCCTCAAGTAAGGTCCATGACCCTCGGTAGAAACTCTTGTGTCAGTCAGGAATGGCCTCACTAGGTATCAAGTGTGGGAAGAACATTAGGCACCATTGCAGGAACTGGTCAGTGACAGCCCCAGTGACTCAGCCAACCCTCAACTTAAATCTCCCTATACCACCTGAGGGAGAGGTGATTAGTAGTGTCTGTTACTGTCCTTACTGTTGCTTCACCCACCACCTGCAGAGATGACAAAGGTTAAAGCCAGAAAATCATAGTGGGTGGAACTCCTGGTGTTCCGGTGTTCCAGTTGGCCATAGCTCAGAATGTGGGGAGAGAGCATTCACCCCATAGAGGGGTTCTAATTAATGTGTGGCAGACAGTATTCTTCTGGCTTGAGTAGTGAGTAAAGGTTTCCTTTTTTTGCTGATTTAAAAGTTAAACTAGAAAATTATCCACCTGCATTGTAGTAACAGGCTCTGGGGTAGAGAAGAAGCTTTGTCCCTGTAGGATTAGTGGACAGGAAGGTGGGAAATCAGAGACATTAGTCTGAAGATAATTAAAGGCTCTGACTGGTGGAGAGAAGGAAGCTCAGACCACTGTGGTCTTGAGTTTTCCACTTGCTCCCCTCCAAAACAGCTGGATTGTCTCTCATGCTCATCAAAACATGCACAATGGGAAGCACGATGAAGGGGGCCCTCGCCAGGGGTGAGGTGTCTGTCAGATAATATTCTCTTCTACCTAGGGAAGCAGAGTACAATGATGACAATGAACGTCTGTGCCCCTTTTTAGTCGCTACCTTTTAACTAGATTTTTCTCTTCCTCTTAAAAAAAAAAGTTTTGTTATAAGGTGTTTTCTTAGAGATGAAGGAAATCTAAGGGGTTTTTTTTGTGGTTTTTTTTTTTTTGAGGCAAGAGGGGTTTAGTGACTTGCCCAGGGTCATACAGCTAGTAGGTGTCTGGGGCCTGATTTGAACTCAGGTAAATCTAGGTGATTTAAGAATAAAAAATCAACAAAAATATCATTTTTTAAAAAGTAACCAATTAACCCCAGTTAAACTGAGAAATGGAAATTCTGGGAAAAAAAAGGTTATGACAACCAAAAGAAAAAAAATTGATAAAACTAGAAGCCAATAAGCTGTTAATCTGCTTTTTTTTTTTTTTAAAAAAAAGGTAAAAACATGGTCACTGTCAAAAATGAAAAAAATCACAGCAAATGAAATAAAATTATTAGAAATGTTTATATATGCCAACAAAACTAATAACATGAAATGGATAAATATTTACAAACATATAAACCACCCAGATAAACAGAACAAGAAATAAAGAATTTGACTTGATAACAGAAAAAGAAATGGAACAAATCATAAATGAACTCCCAAAGGGGAAAAAAAGCCAAGATCAAATGGGTTTATAAGTGAATTATAGCAAATGTTCAAAGGAAACATTCCATTTTTACAAAAGCTTTGTAAAAATTGGATAAGAAGGGATCCTATCAAATTCCTTTAATGAAACAGATATTGCCTTAATACCTAAACCAGGGAGGTTTATGGTTAAACCAAAGCATCAGAAGAAAACTAGACCAATATCAACACTGAATATTGATACAAAAATAGTGAACAAAACATGAGGGAAGAGGTTGCAACAACGTATTTGAGAGAGTATTCACTGTGACCAGGTGGGTTTATACTAGGAATGTGGTGTTGGTTCAATACTAAGGAAACTACAAATGTAACAGACTTTTAAAAACAAAAAGATACAGAAAAATTTTTTTGACAAAATAAAGCACCTATTAATGTAGCACCCACTGTAGGCTACTTCCCTGACTCACACTTGAACTGGAAGGTTGAGTACCCAGAGGTCAGCTGACTATTTCTCTTCTAGAGGGGTAAACTTGGAGGGGTTGAGATTTTTCGGTATTCTAGATAGGGGCTCAGGAGCGCCACCTGGTGGGGTCCACAATAAGTCAGCAAGACTTAATTCCTTTCAGTTAAGAATATTTACCAAACAGGTATGATAAGAATAGTTACTGCAAAACCAATCCCCCCAAAAGTCTGGGATACTTTCTCCCACAAATATATACTGAGTCCAGGGAAAAGTGATGGGAAACTTTGAGAGCCCATTTGGCAAAAAAGGTAACAGCTCTGGACTACTGAAAATGCTTTTTGTTGTAGAACTTCATTCATTTTCCCTTTAGGTATAACTCTGCTAGGCTCCAAAGATCATTGTCTTTATAATATTCATAGCTGCAGTTTACTCCACCTAGAAGAGGTCATGGTCCCCAAAGCTGTCTTTCCTCCATGTCTTTGCCTCCGTGGTCCTTGCTTGGAACACCACTATGTCTGCAACATTACTACCCATCCTGAAAGGAAGTCCAAATCTTCCAACCTCTCAGAGTTTACAAGGTCATCCTCTAGTCAATGAAGTGGAGGAGAGTGAGAGTATGATATTCCCTTTGGGCTCAATCGTTTTACCCTCTTGTTGCTTTTTTGGTACAGGAGCAAAAGGTGTGCCTTTAAGGCACTGCAGAAACTTGACTCCCTTCCTGCTTCATTCTCTTCTCTGGTATTCCACAAATCCCAATACATTTCCTGTGTGCTTCATTTGATTTCATCCAATGTCTCAAAAACATTTCATTTCTTCCAACTGTTGAAGGATTTGTGCACAACTAGTTTATGCCTATTATTGATTGATTCAACAGAGGCACTGGGCCTTGTTCATACCTAGTTTACACCTTTGACTAATTTTGTAACTGGAGGAGGTGTTCGCACTTGGTAAAAGTGAGAGTATCTTAGTAGTTACATTAATTGGAGTCAAGAGGTATGGTATATCCCTTTTATATTAAAACATTTAAAAAGGCATGAGAATAAAGAGACTTTTTCTTAAATATGGTAAATAATATCTATCTTAAAACTAAGAGCTTGCATTATCTGTAATGAAGAAACAATGAAATGAGGGGTAAAGCAAAGACATCCATTGTTACTATTATATATATAGTTCTAGAAATACTAGCAACAGAAGAAGACAGAGAAACTAACAGAATAAGCCCAGGCAAAAAGGAAAAATATATATATTTTTTTGGTAGATAAACTGATGGTTTAGTAATAGCTTGGTTTTTAACTTAAGATCCATGGACCTCTAAGGGATCTACGGATAGATTTCAGGGGGTCTATAAACTTGGATGGGGGAAAATGTCTTCATTTTCAATAACCTCTAACTGAAATTTTAGCTTTTCCTTTCATTATAAATTTAAAAAAAATTATTCTGAGAAGGATTTCATAGACTTATCCTGATTGCCAAAGTGATCCATGATATTGGAAAGTTTAAGAACTCCTGACTTAGAAGATCAGCTAAAAATTAATTGCAACAATAACTTCAGCAAAGTAGCAGAATGTAAAATAAATCCATCGTCAGCCTTTTTTGTGTATTACCAACAACACCTAGCAGGAAGAGATGATAGAAAGATAAACTCCATTAAAAATAACTACAGAATATATAAAATGCTTGGGAGTTTATCTATAAAGATACATACAGAAATTATGTTTTTATAAGTATCCATTTTTTAAAATTTATCAGTTATTTAGCATGTAATTGGGTAAAAGTTTCTAATAATTTATTACCTCTTCAATTGTTCTGAGTTCCCTTTTTTCATTTCTGATAGGAACAATTTCGTTTTCTTCTCTTTCAATCAGACTAGCTGTTTATTTCATTATGTTTAGGGGGGAAAAACCAAACAAGCTCCAAAATTTATTTGTCAGTTCAATGGTTTTGTTGCTTT